AGGAGTAGGAGGAGTAGGAGGAGTAGGAGGAGGAGCAGGAGTAGGAGTAAGAGTAGTACGAGTAGTACGAGTAGGAGTAGGAGGAGGAGGAGCCTTTCCTGTGACAGGATTGTGTAGCCTATCTTTAAATCTTTCCTGTGAGAGGATTTTGTGGCATTGCTGATACCCCCAAGCTATCGTCAGCCTCAAAAGGCGACGTGCTTGACTCAAAGATCCAACAAAACTAGGCAAGCAACTGCAGCAAGCTCACACACAGCTTCATCAAATGCGATTGCTTATACATATATGTTTTGAATTCTAACTCTATATATCTATGTGATGTCATCCATGGTTGTTGTCTTTCTCTCCATGTTTGGTGCTTTTGCTCAACCAGCTACTTGTATACTGCTCCTACAAGTACTTGTTTCATGGGGTCCCAGTATTTTCCGCTCGTGTTTCTTGGTCGTCGGGTCGGTGTGGGGTCTCGCACCTGCGGTCCGGTCGGTGTCGCAGGTGCGCGCGATGCACCCGGCCACCTGGCAGCTAGACTCGCCTCATCAGGTCGTAACTTCTTTGAGGATGCGGCCATCGCTAGTAGGTGGGGGGCACATGGCTAGTATAGCTTGGACATCGCTAGTAGCTCCCAAAGAGGTATAAGTACGTACTTCCAACGAAGGGCGTCCTTTCTTGCTGAGTGCGTACTTCCGGAGCAGATCGGTCCCAGGAGCCCCGGTGGCGTAGTGGTCACCACCTCCCAGGCGTCCCAGGAGCCCTGAAGGAACGACGGTCGTCAGTCTACCGGGCCAGGGATGGCCCGTCTCTCCAAGTCCGAGTGTCTCCCAATGAGGCTCCAGAGGTCAAGCGTGCCCAGGAACCCGCCGAGGCACCTCCATGGAGAAAAAGTGCGAAGGTGAGTCTACTGTGAGCACTGGAGAAAAAAGGGTCGGATCCATGTTCTTCTGAGACTTGCCGGATTTTGTTTCATTTATATCCCAGACACGACTAATGGGACTGCCATATATGCCATAGTGTCGGGGTATTGTCATTCAGCCGCTATGAGCTGGCAATATGGCCCAACATGGACACCACGTTCTGCTCGCTGCAAGGTCTAAGGTGAGGCGTTGATCCGTCTCCATCCGCTTACCCCATGGAGGACGATATATATACCTGGACCCACAAAGGACTCCTAAAAGAAGTACAGGTACCTGTTACTTAATGATTCAAGAGGGGTCATGCCGCATGCCCATTTTCTGGGGTACTTTGGAGGGTCTAGGTACAAATTAGTTACTACCCCAAATCCACAAAATCTCCTCTGCGATCCCTCATGCCAAATTTGTCGTCGCACATTGCATACAAATGGCACTCCTTGATCTGTTCAACGCACTCCTGGACAAACTGATCGGTCTCACAACCGGTCACCGCGCGCCGGTCAACGCGCGCTGGTCAACGCACCTGAAATACCACGAAGGGGTCCGTGGCTTGGGGAGGAGTCCAAGGAGCAGCTACGAAGGAAGTTCTCAGGCGTCCTGGCTACTGCTTTCGCGGCGCGAGAGCCGCTGCGTGCAGAGGCCACTTGAGGCTAGATGAGAGAGGTCGCCCACTTGTGCGTTGTTCTTCATGATGTTGCTGGCATTTGCTGGCCCTATTATTTAGTTTAATACACACCCACATCCAGCACCATGGGTGGTTATTAGATGGAAAATACATCAGAGGGGGTCTATAAACCACCCAGTTCCTGGGTGGTGCTGGATGTCTTCTTTAGCATCACGAGTGACACCCGTGATGCGCCCAGCCTCAGCATGATGGACCATGCAACCGTGTCGGCCAGCTCAGCGGGGTCAAGCCTAGCAGAATCCGATGTCCGCATGTCCCGCATGTCCCGGTCTAGACAAAAACCCGAGCTTCTTCTGAAAAGGTCTGTGATCAAACACCGAGTACTGTCGGGATCTTCCAGTAAGAATCCGCTTGGGCCAGGGGTCGGTTCCAAACTGGAATCCGCCAAGCCCTGAGGGTCCAAAAGGTGCAAAAAACGGTGCAAAACGGCACCAACTGAACGCTATTCAATCTCATGTTGAAGTTTTTAGCCTTCAGACCTTTAAGGTACTCAGTTTCCCTGTGTCCCGGGAAAATATCGGTTCCTTTTTTTTCACCAAGTCTTGTTCGTCTTGTTAGTGGAGGTGTCCCCAATCCTCATAGAAAGCTATACCAGGACACCCTAAGGGGTGTCTATTGATAGCCCCTTAGAGGTTGGGTGTCCATTCACCACCCCTCGTGGGTCCTAGTATGTGCTATATAGGACTGGAAAAAGCTGATCCACAAATCCTGGGACCCGGGGGACTCGACCGTGTTGCTCGTGGACTACTAAAGCCTACGTCTTGTCCATCCCGGTCCCCGACCTCGGCCGGGCTCCCCAAACCCCCCACACGACACACGAAGAAAGTGACTGGAACCCAGCAAGTGGGTGACTGTTTTCTGTTCACCTTCAACGACCTGGGTCCCAAAGGTTCCAAAGGGCAACAATCAGAGAGTTGAAAAGCACATCCAGCAGCATTTGGAAGGCTCCAAATTATTTGGTGCAAGAGTTATTCCTTCGGTTTTGCGCACCAGGTGAGAAAGAAATTAACAACATACCATCGTTTTGGAGTTATCACAGCTCTCCACAGCCACCAGTAAGCGCTCGCAGATACCGCTCTCCCGTCTCAGCGGCGGCCGCTGCGAGCGTCGCCCTCAAGATGTGGATCAATCGTGTTTTTCCTTCAAACGTTTCATCTGGCGCCATGGGTCAAAACAGGGACACCTCGGTTGACCACCTGGCGAATGAACAGAATAGACTACGGAAGTCAACCTACCCTGCTTTGGGGCTCGGGGTGCCATGACCCGCAGCCATCTATTCCTAGCTCTTCCTGTCCGGGTCCCCTGTCTGGAGACCTGTAAGTCGTAGGGTAGGGTAATCTAGCCAGGACACCCAGGTCCAGGATGGTCCTGGTTGTTACCTAGTTCGTCTGGAGTGCATCAGTGTACCTGAAAATCCTCCAACCCCATAGCAGTTGCATGTCGGGGTGCACAGAACATTCCTGGAACCCGCTGCGAATCCAGGCCGAGCCCCATGAGGAATGGGTCAAATAGGAAGAGCCCCATACGATCTTCCAACTCTGCAACACGTCTGCCACACTTGGTTTTATAGAGAAACGGCAATTCGAACGTTGCACAGTTGGAAGATCGATCCTGAACCTTCAGTCGGGCTGTGAACAAGTTGAGAATCCACAAGTAGGGATATGTAGGGTAGTCCAGTCAGGAGACCTGGAGTTCGGCGCTGGTTACGGTAGGCTAGCCACAGGACCGCTCACGTCCTCACCCAACGGCATCAGCGGCGTCACCGACTTCGGCCTGTCCGAAGCCACGCCATTCGCCTGGACACGACGAATGGGACTGGAATGGCCAGGCCTTATACGTTGACGCCTTATACGTTAAAAATCCGAAGGTTGCCCAGCAAATATGGCAGTTTTCATGGAGTGCATGATAGTGTATGGGAACCCAATCCATTAATGGTAGTCCCATGGATCCGGTTAGGCCGGAAGATTGAGGAGTTGTTTCTTAGAAGATCTAGATGAGGACACCTCGAAACAAGTTTGAGACCCCGAAAAGAACCTTGGACCCAACCTCTTAGGCAAGGACGAAAGGATCCGACCTCTTAACACAGGGGTCTGGCACCCTCACCAAGCAGAAATCTGACTCCAAGCTCTTCCGGAGAAGGGCCCGGATTCTTTTAGGCTTGGAGTTGATATGATTTGCCATCCTGGATGCCTACAGCCGCCCGGGAAGATGCAACAAAACACCGGGAGTTTCGCAAAGCAAAAAACAGACCCGCTATATCTACGTATAATATAGGCTTCCAACAACCATTGCTTTTAATGGTCTTTACCGAACCACCATTGTTTTACTAAGGATTTTACACTTCCAAGGTCAACCTTTAATGGTCGAACGCAAGCTAACCTTTCTTTGGGTCTTGGAAGCCTGTAGGGTAGCCGGTCTCGCCAAGTCCTGCACGGCACCGCTGACTCGGGCAGTGCCTCCGATCGCTCCGGGGACTCCTCGGCAGTACACGCGACGACGCCCCGGGTCCAACGCGTTTCTTTTGGGCGGCGACGAGCGTTCTGCGTGGTTCTTCGCTGTTCTTCGGTCTTCAGGCGGATCAGTTCGTTTTGGAGGAGGAAGCAAAAGCTTTCAGCTGACCTGGCGACCTTTTTTGTGGAGGTCATGGTTGGTCGATGAAAGGATCCATCCAATGAAGTGCCACGTCTCTTTTGCCCAGCATGAGTGGGAGACCCATAGTCAGTGTGGCTCATGTTGATCGAGAATGGTCGGATGTCAGGACTGTTTCACCGGAAAGCATTTGCTTGTCACGCCGTGAGCAGTTGTCATGCAGAGTACAAACATTATAAACCACAATTTTGTTGAGGATCCGCTGAAGGAGGCAGACCCAGATCTGATCTGGCCCCAAATTAGGCCTTCACTTGACGTAGAACTGTGAACTGAGGAGCCCCTAAGGTGCGTTTGCATTCAGAAGTGAGGGATCTCCCAGCAACAGCGTGGCTGATCTTGAAGCAGGTTGCGTCTGAGCACTCGAAGAGGGTGGCAGGACATGGCAGGAGCACAGGTACCCCACCGATGAAAACATCCTACAACCACTTGTGTGTGAGTCAACGACTTCCCAAACCGTTGCTTGGTTGCTCTGAAAAAACGTTCCGTCGTGACAGGTGCTTCTGCTCTCCAACGTTCCGTCGTGGAGGTGCCTTTCTCCCGCTCCGCTTGGTCCCCGCAACCCCTCGTCGCAATCGATCCAAGTGGCTTCATGCCATCCGTGCGGCGATGACTCATCGAAGGAGACTTCACAGAGAGGTTCCCCCACGTCGTCCGCGAAGGAGAAACCTTGGACATGGATCTAACATCTTAGGTGAGATGTTTTAGTTGGTTCGAATTCTATTCTGAGTCTGAGCGGGTCTGGAGGATAGCCTATAGCCTATAGCTGCCGAGCCATACACATCATGGTGAAGAATTACGATTTGTATGCATGTTTCTTAGATAGATCGAGCCGCTACAAGCAGGACGTAGCTGTTTGATGAAACTCTTGTCAATGCTCAAGAAAGATTAGAGCGATTGCTTTGGCTCCTTCTATGAGGGAAATTTGTGCTCGTTTGTATTGACATGCTCATGCATTGGTCAAATCTTACGGAAAAAAGAACCGAGGAGTGCAACATCTTGCATGTCTGTCTTGTCTTGTTCATCCCTTGACAGTCTGTGCAGGTGACAGGACCAGCGGCCCTTCGGCCGTGACCCCAAGGACCTCCAGTTTGGTGTTCCAACGACTCCGGCTGTGGTTTTCAGATGTGGCGTCCTTCCGATGGCGTCCTTCCGACCCTTGTTCGCCCAGACACAGGAAGCTCCATCAGATCTGGCCTTGGAATGCATGAATTGTGTATCTGTGTGTCATCTGCTCGAGAGCTCATGACTCCTCCCCCACTGGTGGTCATTTCGACATGTGTTTTCCAAGGGACTTTTTGGTGCGGACCAGGGTCCTCTAAGAGGTGGGGCAACTGATCTTCAGTGCGCAAGCATACTTTGTGTGCTTTTTCCTGAGGGCGGAAGTAGAGCGAGCTTGAAGAAGAGCTCGCACTTTATTTTTCCGGTTTGGTTCCTAGACACGATTCATTCATTTCAAAAAACACACACGTGCACAAGGATACATCTGCTTTCGACCAGCAGGTGCTCCCAAAACGCATGCTTTCAGGGTCATCCGGAGTGGATCGCTAGAGGACCAACGGCTTTAAACAGCCGTTAACGATCAATCATGATCAATCCCACCGAGAACCAAGCTCAGCTCTCTAGGCCTCCAAGTACCTTCTGAGGTGTTTGGGGTGGGTTTGGAGGGTCCAAATACCTCCTGAGGAGGTAGTTGGAGGTGTAGGGCTGTAGGTGGCAGTTTGATGCTGCGTGAACCGTCGAAGTGTCACCAGCATGTACTGTAGCATTGTTCTGCCTTCTTGCCGGGTGGCGGAAGCTCCTTCACTGGGATCCAAATCCTCCTTGGTCATGCAGCGAGGCAACATTCTGAAGGGTCATCTTTCTCTTCTAACAAGGTAGTGTCATGTGAGGTTCCTACCTCCCGGTACACCTACAGTTTCTGATGTGTGTTGACAAGCTAAACTCACCGGACTACCATTCATCGACGAATTCCTGCACCCGCAACTTGCTGACGTAGACAAACAAACACGGGTTATAGATGTTGGCCGCATTTCCCTCTCAGCTGGTCTTGGATGGAAGAAAAGCATGGTTGGGTAGAAGAAGATCATGTGTATATATATATACATATATTCCTCCGGCCCTCTTTCTAGTTAACCTACACCACCCTCCCCGTTTGAGTCGAAGATATCGATCGTTTCCATGAGTCGCGGCCGTGATCGGCTGGAGCTCGGTCGTTTCCACGCAAAACCACGTCGGGACTCGGAAGCATTCTGGATTCTCGCTCGTGGCGGGCTCATTGCACGATCGATTTGGAACAAAGAAATCAAAAGAATCATTATATCATTACATGTTTCCATCACACCTGACTGGTGCGACGAAAGTAGGGAATAAGGGAATGCGCCCCCAATAGAGTCTATTGGATCCAGCCACCCTCATTCCCTGCGAGACGCACCAGTCAGACACCAACTTCTTCAGTCTGTGACCTGAACTCCAAATAATCTTCACTCTACCAGGACCCTCTAAGGGGTGCCCAATGGAAGCCTATAGGTAGTGTGGGGT